TTTGGCTTACAGTGTTCAAACATCATAGGATGATTGCCTATATTTAATAAAATATCCATATCTATATTGGGGTCACAAGGTCAAAGGTCAATATCAAATGATCTTAATATTGTTAACAGTTTTACAACGGTCAAAGGATGATCACTTATATTGAGTATATTAATTATATGCCCTAAAAAATTTGCTTATACGATCGTATTATGTTATAACCCTGGCAATTTTCCGTCCATCCGTCACTGCATTTTTACTTACAAGATAACAACTTGACTTTGGTGCTTTGGAAACAGCAACTGTATATATATATATATGAAGGTTCTTCATCTATAAAGGAGGATTGCTTTTTGAAGGAGGTTATACTTTATTTAATTCCCATGTCTTACAAATGCTTTATCCTTACTAAAAAAAACACTTTCTGGCATATAATGCTATGCCTAGCAGTGCTCTTGTTTGGTCTTGTGATAAGGATGTTAACAAAGTATCTAAATACAATGATGCTCCCAAATTTACATGAAAATGAGCAGCCCATGCATGGAATCGTGTCTAAACCCCCTATTGAAAATAGCGGGCACATATTTTGTTAATGGTATGGAATGTTATATTCTGAATAGTGAGAAACAATCATGTGCATTGAATAACAAAAGACACTCTTTGTAAAAATTGTTCTATGAAAAGACAATAAGTGTATGAAAACAGTGTGATTGTATATTTTATGAAATTGTTGTTGCATATTTCAACTTTAGAAGCTTTACACCTGTTATCTTATCATCATTTTGCAATAATGCTGTGACACTAAAATCAAACTCAAACTGGTTTTAATGGCGATACTGTAATAGTTGATAAACTACATTGAGTCATAATAATGTTATTTGAATTGATTATCTATTACCATATGTTGTACAGTTGCTGTTGATATTTTTAGATTACCTTGGAGCTACACATCTCTGCCATTATTATCTACACTAGAGTCGCTGTATATTGTTGGAATAGTGCCATTAGAACTGTATAACAGTGTGATACATCATTGTCTCGGACTTACATATAAACTACCATTTCTACCATTATTGTTAACGTCCATATATTGTGCAATTGGAGTAACTTACTGCTGGTTAAAGTTTTACTGGATCACGCTCCATGATAAATCTAAACAGAAACAAAGTTAGGCAAAAATATTGCAGAGTTAGGCAAAAATGTTGCAGAGTTAGGCAAAATGTTTCAGTTACACAAACTCTAAATTTCATTAAAAATTCCTTATACAGCAATGCAGATACTGCAACATTTCTTTAATACAATTGGTCTGGGTGTTGTTTATTTATTTATGTTTGTTGGTTAATTAAGATCTAGTTGCAGAATCTAGATCATTTGAAAGTATTTTTGCTTGTTTGGCATTTTACAAAAGTGCACAGATGAAAACCAATACCACTATTATATGGTCATTTATAAATTTGATCTGCTAGGAAATGTTATCTAATAATTTTTGTGATACATGATATACTGTAGTATGTACAGTATGTAAATATGAAATATCCTGAACAATTCAAATTGTAATTATGTAATGTATTGCAAACATCAGTTTTAATGTGAATTGCTTCATAGATTCAGTAAATCTTTTGTTGTGAAGCCCTTTGTTTCATAAGCCTTTGACTGATCTCAAAGCATTTTGCAAGAAAAGTGTCCTCAGTCTTCCGATTGCTTGATCTTTAACATCCATTTGAAATTTATAATAAATATAATTAAACCAGTATGGTATTTCTAAATTTCTGAAATAATCAAGCAGGCTGCCTCTTCAGCTGTTGCTGGTGACTGTGCTCTGTTTGGCTTGACCTTGTTATATTGATACTTCCATGGTCTTGTGGTAGCCATTAACATTCATTCATTTGAATCAAGTAAACGAGTTCAAAGCTAAATTTAACTTTATTTACATACATTGGTCAATGATTATTTGCTGAAACATTTCAAGCCAGTATCACTACTGTCTCAGTGACCTTGTTTAAGCAACATTTTATCCGGACAAATTTTTGGGATGAACTTAACATGATTGGATTTTTGTTATTATGTTATAAGACATACTGATGCTGCATTTATATACTGGTGCCCCTCATTGCAGTATTTCAGACACAAGCAGGGACCTGAATTACTGACAGCCCTCTTGAAAGCTTCCTTACATAATGAAAGATAGAAAAGATCCTGATGATATTTGAATGGACCTTTCCAGTTGTAAATTGGCTAACTTGTTATCCAATTGCTACAATGAGATAATACATAGTCACTGGTTGACCTGGTTTGCACAAAAGAACATATGGCTATGTTTGTGATACTGTTTGTGAGCAGATGACCTAGCAATAAATAGAAAAGATGTGGCTACGAAAAACTGGAAAGGTCCATACAGTGGTCCAGTTTCCACTACTCTGTAGAGGAGACTCCACTACTCTGTAGAGGAGACACAAAAAATGATTAATTTTTTTAAGACTTAATGGGCCTTTAAAACACAAGAAGAAAACTTGTTTACTGTTAATACTTTTATTAAAGAGCAATTACAATATGGTATATGATCAGTTGCATAGATACATCATCAAAGAGTTTGTTAACAAATCTACAGCTTTTAGAATATGTTTTCCAAATTTCTCTTTTCCTTTTGTTTCTCTTAGATTTAAAACATTCTATTTTCAACAATTACTGGACATTACTAAACAGGTCACCATTAGCAACAAAATCAGAACATGTTGTCAAAAGATTAACAAAACAGTAACAAAAACATTTACAGACTGGTAAGAATTTTTCACAAAAATTTTATACACATTTAATTGCACCTGTAAGTATATGTAATGAAGTATAACAAGTTTGTTTTTTTTAAATGCCAATTTTATATTTTGCAATAGGCAAGAATAGTAACTTGACCTCCCATAATTAAATTCTGGGAAGTTACTGTCTTTCAAATGCAACAGCAAGTTAACTGTTAATAAAATAATGGACTGAATTATGATTAAAGACAAAGCATGCAATGAAGAAAACGAAAGCACCTATACACTACTAGCTAACTTAAAAAAAAATAAGAAAAAAAGCAAAACTTCTCAGTATGAAATATGATGAAAATTGCAAAAAAAAACTGGCATTTTCGCTTTGGAAGCACTAACATTTTCCTTACTATCAAATTACAAACTTGAAACATTAAAAAACAAAATAAACAGCACTAAAAGCATTTCAGACTAGATATATTGCAAAAAAAAAAAATAAAGAAGAAAAAATATTGCATCAATTGCGCAAAACCAATACATTACAAATCCTGGACTTTGAGATTCACAAAAGTTGATCAACGTTCCAACAGGAAATTTTGATTCTTCAGAAAAACCAGTTTTTTTTAACTGTGCAAAATATAAGGAAACGCTCTTCCATAGTTTTAGCAACATGACAAAGTATCTTCCATAGGTGTCTCAAAGTGACAAAATGTGATATCAATATGTGATTAAGAACCTCAAGGTAAAAATTGTGATTTTAACAATAACAATCTTTTTTGCAGTTTCTGTAAAAGAGCATCCAAGAATCTACCAATGTAAAGTTATAATGTATATTTAAAGAATGAAAGTGTTCAAATACTGTTTTGATCAAAAGCAAAGCACAAACTAAAGTTATACAACTGCAGGGAATACAATTTTATGGTTAATATTAGAATACTTAAGAAAATAAAACTAAAACAAAATTATAACTACTAATATTCAGGTAAAACTAATAGATGATATTTTTATATAAAAGAATGCCCATTCAAAAATATATGCACACATGGATATTTTGCTAAATAAGATTTCAAGGGGGCAGATTTCACCAATAGATCAAAATGATATGGACACCTTAACAGAATTCAGATGTATTAAAAACAATGTACCAACTTTTCTTAAAGAAATTAACAATTAAAATTTAATTTAAAAAAATAGACATCAAATTCTATACACCAATAGAGATGTTAACAAGATCATCACAATAAATCACAGAGAAGAAATGTTGTTTTAACAACCAAAAACACCTGCATGTCCATAATGTAACTTCCCAGTCCGAAGACCACGGCAATATTCAAACATCTTTAACGAGCTCCACAAAGGTTTTTGACACATGGCTTTTTTTGACTCAAGGGTAACCAAGAATTGAAACAAAAAGTTGATTTTCAATTGAATTCAGAATATAATTTTTAAACATCTTTTTGCAAAGTTTTCCACATATTTTTATTGGGTTTTACGCCGCACCAATACGTTAAAGAACATTTGGTGTTTTTCCAGCTTTACTGGTGAGGGAAGACCTCAGATGCCCCACCGTTTATTAATTCAGGCTTGAAAGGGCACTGAGTAGAACCACAGATATTCTGTAAGCTAGCTGGATAGCTTCCTCAAATATAAAAATCAAAGGCCCTGACAGAATTCTAACCCACAAGAGTGAGGGTTAAGTGGTTTGAAGTCAACCTCATTAACCACTTGAAGAATTTTCCATATATGAGCCGTGTCACGACAAAACCAACATAATGGTTTTGCGACCAGCATGCATCCGCGCAGTCTGATCAGGATCCATGCTGTTCGCTATCAGTTTCTCTACTTGTAATAGGGTTAGTAAGCGAACAGCATGGATCGTGATCAGACTGCTGGTCTGGATCCATGCTGGTCGCAAACCCATTATGTTGGTTTTGTCGTGACACGGCTCATATCGTTCCACAAATGATCATGTACAAATGTTATATTTCACGTTTTAAAGCTTTTGGATCTCCGTGGAGCTACATTTAAATTGTCTCAAACAGCTTATCAATCCTTTTGAAAAGTCAAATCCCATATCAAGCAGACATGCAAGTGAATTGGAGGAAAAAAGGCAAGAACATATATTACAAAGAAGGTATACTTATTTAGACTATATGGCATATAATACATGAACTGTTACAAAAAAATATTATGACTTTTAATTGTATACATTTCACAATACATGTGTGTTTACTAAAATGTACTAAATTAAATGTACGACAATTACGGAACATGGAAATATCTAATGCTATATGTGGTCGCACAATTCATTATGTACAAAGCTGGCCAAGAGTTCAATGTGGTCCCATTTGGCAAGTGGTGTAGTTTCAGTGATGCCACAGTAAAAAAATATAGTTCAAAAATATAATCAACATTACTTGACTGGTCCCTATTCTAATAACATGGCAAAAGAATTGACTGGTCCCATTCTATTAACAAACTTTAATTCAACAATAATTAACAAATACAGTAAAAGTCTGAGAAAAAAATAAAATGCTTTGTTTATAAGACCTCTAAACTTGTAAGCAAGGCCAATATAAGAAATTCAAATCAAACGCCCTTAGTAAACAAGAACTTTTTCAGCACCACTTAAAGTGGCCTTCAGCTTTGCTTAAGGTTTAATATGGTATTTTTAGATAAATTGTTTCATATAATTGTCAAATCAAAAGAATTAAGGTGGAAAATGAAATTTGCAGCCAATAAAATACATAAATAATAAGGACACCCCTTGATACCTCTAAACTACCGGTCCACCTTCTATATGCAGACGATTCATTTCCCAATCTTCCATTTTTAGAAACAAATTTCACCGACGAGCTATAAATAGCTCTCAGGATGCTGTTTTGAAGAAGGCTAAACTGTGATAGGATGCAAGATAAAATTACTGAGAAATACTTTGTTTGAAATAACACAATTGTATTTCTAACAGCAAAAAAAAGCTGAAGGCCACTTTAATTCAAATTGTTTTCAAAATTAATCTATCTTTTACTCAGTAAAAGAATGTCGACATTAATGAATAATCAGTATCTGCTATTTAAGCATTACCACTACACAGAAAAAGTTTTCCTAGTTGAAAGGGAGGATCATTATGTAACAGCAAAAACAATAAAAAAGTAACAAATATAACAAGGTGGCAATTCTTCTGGGTTTAAAAGTATACGTCAGAGTACAGGCACTTGTAGAAAAAACATTCAACTTAATTTTTTATTAGATGGAAAAAAAGAAAATCAGCATCCAATGGATTAAACTCTTAGGCACTATTGGCACTTATTTTGTATATATTCATTTAACGTGGACAGAAGAAAATATGGACCACATTTAAAAGTTGAACCATGCAGCAGAAACAATTTTTTTCTGTTCTTGTTTTTATTTGGCTGCTTTCTCTCTTTGAATATCTGAAATAAAATATAACTAAAGTAATATCACTTGAATATCTGAAATAAAATATAACTAAAGTAATATCACTTGAATATCCGAAATATCACTTGAATATCGGAAATAAAATATTACTAAAGTAATATCACTTGAATATCGGAAATAAAATATTACTAAAGTAATATCACTTGAATATCGGAAATAAAATATAACTAAAGTAATATCACTTAATAACCGAAAAGAAATAAATATTAATTTGAAATATCATTTGAATATCTGACACCATAGAAATATCATCTGAATTAGGAATAACTGACATTAAAATAGTAATATTACTTGAATATTTGACATGAATTAGTGCTGTCACTTGAATAACTGACATGAAAATAGTGCTGTCACTTGAATAACTGACATGAAATAGTGCTGTCACTTGAATATTTGACATGAAATAGTGCTGTCACTTGAATATTTGACATGAAATAGTGCTGTCACTTGAATATTTGACATGAAATAGTGCTGTCACTTGAATATTTGACATGAAATAGTGCTGTCACTTGAATATTTGACATGAAATAGTGCTGTCACTTGAATACTTGACATGAAATAGTGCTGTCACTTGAATATTTGACATGAAATAGTGCTGTCACTTGAATATTTGACATGAAATAGTGCTGTCACTTGAATATTTGACATGAAATAGTGCTGTCACTTGAATATTTGACATGAAATAGTGCTGTCACTTGAATATTTGACATGAAATAGTGCTGTCACTTGAATATTTGACATGAAATAGTAATGTCACTTGAATATTTGACATGAAATAGTGCTGTCACTTGAATATTTGACATGAAATAGTAATGTCACTTGAATATTTGACATGAAATAGTGCTGTCACTTGAATATTTGACATGAAATAGTAATGTTAATTGAAAAAGTAACATGTCGGTGATTTCACTTAAATATGAATGAAATCATTGGTGTATATTAAACCATCTATTTAACCATTCAATCAAATGGTTCATACTTTAACTCGTTCAATCATATTATTTAAAGTGTTAGACGTAATCTTACTTACTCATCCAAGTTTTCACATTAATGTTTATCACTCACATTAAATTGTTTTTATCAATATAAAAGTAATTTTACTATTTCATGTGTTTATAGAATTACTCAAATTGTGAAAATTGTTCCAAAACTGAAAAGAGCTGCAAAGATTTTTACTCAAATCAGACTAAAAGTAGGACAAAAATGATTTTCAATTTATTTCTTATTTTATTTCTTCCTTTTCTTTCACATATCTTTCTGTTTAAAGTGCCCCAGTTGATACATGTAAAAATTAAATATTTTAGTTTTTTATGCCTTTGGAACCCAGTGAAGTTTTTTTAAGTTTAAAACCTTGTAATTGATTCCTTTAAGGAACTGCAATTAAATAAATTGTAAAGTAAGGTTCTTGGAATCACAGGTTTTTCGATTTGCATGTATAATCATTATATTGGTATATACATGTACCTTCTTTTGTTGGCAGTGCATTTTTCTCGAGTGTTTCCGCATGTTTGAGAGCATCCTTACTGAAACTCTCAATAATCTTATGAGTGGCTTCTTGTGCTACAACTGAAATGCGATTTTGTTAATAAAATTAGTTCACACGCAAATACACACAGAGGTAAATACACACAATATGTGAAAATGACAACAAAAATCACTCCTCAAACAACTTTTAATGTCAAAATCGTGTTAGTTTTATTCTTCTTCTTTTTTTCTGTGTCTCTTTTTTTTGTATTTTTGGTTAGTATTTTAATAAGAAGTTGCTTTTTAACAGTACAGGTAACAATAAATGAAGAATCTTATGCTCATATTAAATGAAATGTTGATTTAACTCGAACACTTAAAAAAATATACTGAATTCCCTAACAAGTGCAGTTTCTAATACTTAATTTGTTGAACGAGTTGAATAAAATTATATTAGGCCTTATTTTTGAACCTACACAATTATGTTATGATATAAATTCAATTCCAAATATGACATAGCAAAAAAAATAAGAATTGAATATGGCAAAAAAAAAGAACCATTTTTTCATTCACGTGCCTATAGAGGGCTCTTGTACGCTTAATGACATCTCCTTTCACTGTTTCTACATTAAAAATATTCTAAATACTGTTTATATTAATAAATTAGTATTATATACCCATGCTATTTTAACGAATCTGTAAAAATGGTATCATATGGCACGGCTGCGCATATATTTTGACGTGACGTCACTTGCGTTATACAAACATGGCGTTAAGACATGTTTAATGTAACTATGTCTTGTACTATAAGCAGATCTATGTCAAATGATTCTTTTTTACTACTTCTTATTTCATGTAACTATGTAATAAACAGAATATAATATTCATGTACGTTCATCACTGAATTTATTGAACTTATTGAATAAAAATAAGATAATGCTTGTCAGAGGTTTGCATAATATAATTTTATTCAACTCGTTCAATAAATTCAGTATTGAACCTACACTCATTCAATATCCTTTATATATTATGCTCCTGTGCTGATAAAACAATGTTTGAAATTTTAGGGGGTTAAAGGGGTTTTCATTTACAATCATAGCAACAAACTTACTTTCTTTAAGGGCGTCTTTTTCATTCACATCTACTTTCTTTAAGCTGCTTCGGTCATGTTTACTGATAGATTCTCGCAACTCAACTTCCTGTTTCTCTTGACTGATAACTGTAACATAAAAATCGCAATTTATTCAAAATCGTTCATCGAACATATACCACTTGTGTGACAAATATTTGTAATCTATTGCACTTACAAGCCTACCATAATCCTAATTCATTATCTTGATTAATTGTAAGATTACTATCTATATAATCTGTATAAATAAATCTATGGCACAAGGAAGTTATAAATATGAAGCAACTGGGGCAATATAATTATATCAATGGTCAAATCAGGCTAGGCGTGACTTTATATTAGGTGGGTTACATTGAACCAGTCCAAGGTTAAGAATACTTTGTAGGTAACATTTAAAAACAAAAAACACTGCTACAAACCATTGTAGATAAAATGGAATCAAACATATTGTGGGTAATATATGGAATCAACCGAGAATGTTGTGTTTCTCTGCACTTAAGGAAATACAAAACTTAAGATAGCACAGCCAATTCTCACTCTATGCAAAATGATCAAAAAAGTAATTTGTAATTTGTTAATAAAACTAAAATCTAATTGTTTAGAGTACTATTGTCATTGAAATACAAACATACAAATAAAATCATTTAACAATCTCAATGTCACATTAAATATCATGTAAATGATCCAGTGATCTCTTGTCATCAATTGATTTTTAATCTATACACAATTCGATACAGGATCTAAACATACCTATGTGAATACAAGCACTTCACTAACAAGGAACTGGACACTTGATATATTAAAGGACCAGCTACATTGACCAATTCAAGGTCCAATTAACAAACTTAATTGTCTGATGACAAAATAAACAAATCAACCTAAATATCCTGTTTAGGGCTTTAAGCTTAACAATGTGATCATATATTATCTTAACCCAAAGGGGCAATAACTTCATATGGAAAAGCTACATCCCTAAGGCTCTGAAATCGTTGTGAGGCTGCTTATAATTTGACGATCCTTGACCAACTTTTATTTGGATGAATCACTACTGTCGGGTTATGACTTATCCAGATAGCCAATAATTCATATCAAATGGCTCCTAGTACCAAACCTTGGTAAAAATCGAATATTCTATCAGATAAATGTTGCCAAACATGTCAATAAAAGGAATAAATATGTATCATTTAGAACCTAGACACAAGTTTGAATGAAAAATGGAAGCAGAACCATGAATCATTGGTGTATGACAGGGAGGAGATGAAAATGCGCTGTACGGAATGTGCCGATTTTGACGGCGAAAAAATAAAAAACAAAAAGTGTCTTAGAAATACACACACAAGTTTTTATTTGATTTTGATCAATTTTATTTGGTCCGACAGATTTTGTTTCGGTCCGACAGATTTTCATGGTTTGTCAGACCGAATGTCTGACAGTTTTTTTCAACTTTCGGGAAGTCTGCCCTAAGCTACTGAACTGTTTGAAGGTTTGCTTATCATTGTACGAATCTTGACCAAAACATGTAATTTGGAGAAATCACCTAAAACATGGTAGGGTTGACTGACTTGATCCAGATAGATCAATAATAAATTCATATAAATAGCCTCCCACGTAACATAACATCAGGTGTCAAAATATTTCAATATTCTATAAAAAGATACAGATGTTAGCCTTACAACATTGTCAACAAGAATAGAAATACAATCATGTATCATTTGTTAAAACACCGTATACCACACTAGTTGATTGAAAACTATTTTTGCTATACAATACAACAGTAAAACAGCTGGTTTTTTTTTTACATTTCAATGTAACAGCTTTTTTTTTCACATTTTCACTCAATATGAATCATTCTCTCCTGCCACTATCTACATAAAGCTCATACAATATTGTCAGATATACATGCTGCTATTGTTAATTACTCTCTCACCTCTCTTGTCTAGCACAGTTAATGACAAGCATGCGTTTTATTTTTTTTACGCTATATGAGCCGCGTCACGACAAATCCAACATAATGGGTTTGCGACCAGCATGGATCCAGACCAGCCTGCACATCCCTGCAGTCTGATCAGGATCCATGCTGTTCACTATTGGTTTCTGTACTTGTGATAGTTTGTAAGCGAATAGCTTGGATTCTGATCAGACTGCGCAGGTGCGCAGGCTGGTCTGGATCCATGCGTGTCGCAAACCCATTATGTTGGTTTTGTCATGACGCGGCTCATATTCTATCTAATTGCTATCTAAAACAAAAACAATAATACATTATTATCCATGATGGCTCTGAAATGTATTATGGAATGTTATTTTGAACAGGAATATTTTAATTAATTTTGCAGTTCTGAAATATTCAACATAATTTTTTTTCTTATTTCCCATGTGGTGGAAACCATCACTGATTAATAGAACAAGGAAGCATATTAATATTATATATGTTTTCCTGTTCATACTTTCACATCAGGATTACTCCATTCCTACTGCAGACAGATAGATGACAACTAAATTGACAACAAAATAACAACACAAAATAACAACATGGCAATAAAGAATCTAAAATTGGAAAATTTTCGTGAAAAACAAAATCATGATTACGAAATGTGACAAAAAAAACGTTAGTAAAAATCCCTTACCAATTATAATCTAAGACTTTGAAGACTACTTCCTGTACCCAAAAATACCTGAGACAGTTGGGAGAGTGAATTTCACCTCCGTATTTTGAGGTTTTAACAGGGCTTTGTTAAAACTATCGATAGAATTCCTATGATCGTAATGATGTTTTTCAGCAGCTATTGCTATTCAAGGAACGAAACAATAAATTTACAAGGAATCAAATCAAAATATGAGCCGCGTCACGACAAAACCAACATAGTGCATTTGTGACCAGCATGGATCCAGATCAGCCTGCGCATCCGTGAAGTCTGATCAGGATCCATGCTGTTTGCTGTCATTTTCTCCACTTGTAATAGAGTTGGTAAGCGAACAGCATGGATCCTGATCAGACTGCGCGGATGTGCAGGCTGGTCTGGATCCATGCTGGTCGCAAACCCACTATGTTGGTTTTGTCCTGACGCGACTCATATATTAACATGGATAGTTTATACGTAAAGTTGTCGCCTGCTAGCAAGATAATCATCTTTGCGACTATTATCAGCATTTAGAATATCATTGGTATTAAGTAACTATATGCTGTTATAGTTAATATCCTTAAGATGGGGCATACAGAAAGTGCCGCAAAAAAAAAATGCTGAAAAAAGCTGCATGCTGCATCTGGCAGCAAAATGAAACAGTCAACTTGGAAAGAAACAAATGCAAGAACAATCTGCAAACTGTGCAAGAATCCAAACAAAACTCCATTCTATCAATCCAAAGAACAAACAGCCTCCAAGAACGAAAACATTTGACTTATAATATTGAACATTTTAACGTCAAATATAAACAGGAACCCAAATATTGCCTGAAAAGATATATAATGATGTTTCATGTATATACATTACCTTCCTTGGACGGCAAGACAATTTTTTCCTGTGTGTTTTGACGCTTTAAGCTTGATTTCTGGAAATCTCCTATAGATTTTCTATGCTCCAATTCTTTTTTCTCTTCCTCTATGGCTACTCGGGGGGAGAACAAATAATTTCTATGACATATTTTGAAAAAAAATCAAAAATTTTGAAAACTGAATAAAGGAGAGCCTTTCAAAAAAGTCGAGGTGCAGTTAAAAGAAATGATAAGTTATGGTTATAGCACATTTATACATGTAGCACATTTATACATGTATGCTATGACACAATGAAAGAGGGATACAAATTTTAATATTGATTTGAATACATTTAAAAACCATAGCCACTTGCAGTTATAGAAAGGGTATAGGGTATAATTATGAAATTGAATGACTACCAATAGGCTTGAGAATAGAGATTTTGATGCAGTAAAATTCTACTCATTTTTCTTTCTTTCTTTTCATTTGTAAGGGGATAATGTCTAAATTCTCATCAGGCACTGACTTAACAATTGGAACATTAATTATTAATGCAATCATTTTAAACTTCTCCACATTATTAACTTAGTGGGCATGAAAGAAGTTGTACTTTAACATTATCTCTAATGAACTGACTCAATCAAACCGGGTCTGCAATTTTCAAATAGTACTGTTGTTTTCCTTTCTTCCGGGCAATCACCCTTTCTCCAAATTTTACTGAAGGAAGAAGCTGTAATGTAGGTGTTATTGGTATGGTAAAAGATTAACTGCTTTTTAAGGCCATAATTGGCAATTTCAAGCTTACAATGAAAACCTTGGTTGTCGCCTTATGCATTCATTTGGTACCACTGGGCACCCAAGTAGGATGACCAGACTTCTTTAAGACAATTTTCAACTCACATACAAGAGATCACTTTCCTTGGCTAGGTATCTAACCCACTACAACAAGGGTCAGGTGATTCTAAGTGAGTAACATTAACCTTTTAGCCTACTGGCAGCAACAGATTTTACCCACGCCACCAGTGCAAACCAATATCAGCCAGCACATCCATGCTGTCTTGTCATGGTCTATTCATTATTTAGTCAGTATACATTTTGAAATTTCCCCGGAGGTAATGAATAGTTATGTCCATATATAAAGATGGGCAAATCTAATTAAGCTACTTTAGTATTTACTTGGTAAGAGATACGTGTAACCATTCAACCATAGAGGTCCACTATATTTAAAACTTTTGGTACATTTACAAAGTTTTCATCTTTATACTGAATTAAACTTGCAAGTGTTGATCATAGAATACATTCTATAATTATATAAATACATGTATATAATTATGAACACCATGGAATATAGTGATAATTAATGTACATGTATTAATCAAAGTGCATATATTATATGCATAAACAGGTAGTAAATAAGTACATAATACAAGTACAGATATTGGTTTTCATATTAAATATTCATACAAGTATGTATAAATGAGATTTTTTATTGTGATTTATACAACAAGACATATATTGAATGTCATAACACAAATAAAAAGATAAGCCTGTGTATTTATCTGAAGAATATTTTGTACCAGGGGAAATAGAAAAGTATATAATTATAAAATGTTACATCTGATTTTAAAGAAATATCGAGTAAGCTAAATGAATAAAGAAAAGGGTGATTTTATCTATTGAAGAATGCAACTTTTCATTAATGTTATCAAAATATATAAAACTGTACAGGGGAATGAATTTCTTTAAAGAAAAAAAAAGACATTTTTTTAAAAAAAAGAAAGAAATTAAAGGTAGAATATGACATTTAAGTTGGTCTATTGTTGATAAAAGATTAAAACAGATAAAAGCTGGGCTATTGTTTATAACAGAAAAAAAGATTATACTAAAGTGTACTACTATATTGGCTTTGTAGAATATTAATATTGGATTTGAAGAACAAAGGCTTTTTGATATAATATATATTTAACCCATTACCCCATGAGCATTTTGTGAACAAGAACTGTCGGAGGACAGTAAAGCTCGACTATTCGAAAATTTGTCACAAGGGTTTTTCATTGAGTATAATAATGCTTACCTATATGTATACATAAAATTGTCCGAAAAGGTACAAACTCTTCAAGTTTCAATACATTCCCTTCAGTAGTTATGGAGATACAAGCTTACATACAAAAACTTAACCAAGATTTTCTAAGTCGAAAAAGGGGCATAATTATGAAATAAAACAATTCAGAGTTATGGGACTTGTACCAATCACCTTTAGATAATCACGGAGACCAAGTGTGTGAAGTTTCAATCCATTCCCTTCAGTAGTTATGGAGATACCAGCTTACACGCAAAAACTTAACCAAAAATTTCTAAGTCGAAAAAGGGGCATAATTTATGTTAAAAAGCAAATCCGAGTTATGGGACTTGTGCCAATCATCTAAGATAATCAGAGAGAACAAGTGTGTGAAGTTTTCAATCCATTACCTTCAGTAGTTATGGAGATACCAGCTTACATGCAAAAACTTAACCAAGAATTTCTAAGTCAAAAAAGGGGCATAATTATGTAAAAAAGCAAATCAGAGTTATGGGACTTGTGCCAATTATCTTAGATAATCACAGAGAACAAGTGTGTGAAGTTTCAATCCATTCCCTTCAGTAGTTATGGAGATACCAGCTTACACGCAAAAACTTAACCAAAAATTTCTAAGTCGAAAAAGGGGCATAATTATGTAAAAAAGCAAATCAGAGTTATGGTACTTAAGCCAATTGTCTTAGATAAACACAGAGAACAAGTGTGTGAAGTTTCAATCTATTCCCTTCAGTAGTTATGGAGATAACAGCTTACATACACAAACTTAACTAAGAATTTCTAAGTCGAAAAAGGGGCATAATTATGAAAAAAAGCAAACCAGAGTTATGGGACTTGTGCCAATCATCTTAGATAATCACAGAGAACAAGTGTGTGAAGTTTTAAATCCATTCCCTTCAGTAGTTATGGAGATACCAGCTTACATACAAAAAACTTAACCAAGAATTTCTAAGTCGAAAAAGGGGCATAATTATGAAAAAAAGCAAATCAGAGTTATGGGACTTGTGCCAATCATCTTAGATAATCACAGAGAACAAGTGTGTGTGAAGTTTCAATCCATTCCCTTCAGTAGTTATGGAGATACCAGCTTACATACAAAAACTTAACCAAGATTTTCCAAGTCGAAAAAGGGGCATAATTATGAAATAAAACAATTCAGAGTTATGGGACTTGTGCCAATCATCTTAGATAATCACAGAGAACAAGTGTGTGAAGTTTCAATCCATTCCCTTCAGTAGTTATGGAGATACCAGCTTACATACAAAAACTTAACCACAGGGACGCCGACGCCGACAAATGGGTGACTGCATTAGCTCGATTATTCTGCGAATAGTCGAGCTAAAAATGGCTATTTTCATTGAAAAGTCTCCCGTTACAAGTTCAAGTTGCTATAAAACTATAAAAACTGCTTCAATACTAATCAAACTTGGCACAAATGTTGACTGGACCATTGCCTTTGTAACAACATGCTCAGTCTGAAATTTCCTGTTACCATGGCAGCTAGGGGCCATCTCAAAATTGCCAAAAATCACTATTTTGCGTTGATTTTTTCCATCAAAATTGATTTCAAAGTGCTGCCACTTCTCAATGGATTGAGATAGAGTCAAAGGCTTTTCAGCATTGGGTACACGTTACCTTATGATCGACCTGGGGCCATTTTTAGCCTCCACAAGTCCAAAATTTTTTGGCGATGAGGGGGACTCCGCCCCCCTTTTCAAACCCCCCAAACAGAAGGGGACACATCCCCCTTCTGGCAACCCCCTGATGTATCTTTTGGATAGGGGGCCGCGCCGAAAAAGTGGTCAATTTTTTCAACAACATTTCTCAAACAAAAACAAGTGTTTGGGGGCCTAAATAAGGCATTTTGTCACATTTGAGGAAGCAAAAAGGGGGGGGGGTGAAAAAGGCATAGAAAGGCGTATATATCTGGTAATGGGTTAAGAAAAAGAAGCTGTGAAAGAATACAGTTGAAAATGTGAATAAAGTTTCATTTAAGATAAGACTTCCCTGGAGAATTGAATCCAGAAATATATTTCAAATAATCAGAGGTGGTTTATATAGATAATGGTATATATTGTATGATATATTGTATAGATTTTCTACATAGATTGATGATGGTGTTATATACATAATAACAGTACATGTGTTGTACTAGTTTGCAGAGATCTAGAGATCACATTTATGTTTTAAAGAGACTGGTGTGTGTTGAAAATTGAACACAAGAGTGTGTGAAAAAACTGTAATAAGTTTGAAAGAAGTATTTGACTAGCAGATACTGACTATAATATTATAAATACACAGAAATCTACAGATAGTTGTTCTTGTCTTGTCTATAAAAGCCTATAAAATAGCTTGACAAATTCTTATACCATGGAAAAAATAGAAATAATCCAAGGAATAACCATAAGAAGAAAGTTTTAATAAGAACTCTGTAAGATGAAGAGTAAATTGATTCTGTCTAGTTAAAGCTTTCCTTCAGAATTAACTAGTACCACAATCTGAAGAACAGAGAAAAAGTAGAAACCAACCCTTTCCAGTCACACCAAGTTTCTAATGGTTGTGTAAGAATCACACCAACATGTCATCATTCAAAGAACACTTACATTATAGGTATAAATATTACCCTGACATCAACCCAAGCAGAAATAAACACACATTTTTGACACACCCTTAAAGTATGACCAAACTGAGTAACTTTTAGATACCTGCTTCTCAGTCAAAGAACAGAAACACCAGAAATTTCATATATTACATGAAGCTCCGCAGAAATAGAAATAATCGCAATGCCTGCACAATTAACATATGGGAACAGATATAGAACATAAAAATATCATTTAAATGTTTTTAGAGTTCTACTAGTCCTAAAGACATAGAATGTTTTTCAAAGTAACAGCAGAGCAAATTCAATAATGTAAAAGCATTCCAATTTGAAGATACCGTTAAGTATTTTATTCATATGGTCTTTACCATGTAAAATTGCCAAAACTATGATTGTGCATAAAAGTACAAATCATTTTTTTTTTTAAAGTATTTCATACAGCACATACTTTTCATACTGCCTATACATAACGCATATACATAGTAGTTACTAAGAAATACAATTCCCTACAAAATTGAATGATTTTACATCAGTTGTAACAACAGTTATATGTATCAAAAGTAATATATAAGCTGGGACGTAATATAACCGGACAAGCAACTAATCAATGACAAGATAAATTTGTCTTATATTTGCGTCCAATTGGCAGCCAATTGATAATCCTAGTGTTTCAATCATATATATATCAAATGCCGTTTTTATTCCAATGAACACAGATAATTTTTCATTACATTATATTATGACCATTAAGATACAAAAGAACTGTTAAAATCTTACGCAAGTTGGCTAATATTTCTAATAATTATACTGTTTACAACAGGCAAAAAGATATCATTTGCACAACAAACAGAATCTCAAAATTGCGGCCTGTGCGCCTGATTGGACGAAAAATATTAGGCGGGGCTTATCTCCAGTTGCTTGTCCCACTACATGATGTCCCTAATATAAGCAAAAGCAGCATGCTATTAGCAGATACAGCAGGGTAATATCAGAAGCAGAACATTCACAGCTTTATATATTTTCTTTTCTATTTGTGTTGGTTTCATTTATCAAAATTTCTTTAACCTTTACATGCTTTTTTCTACAGCATCAAAATTTCACATTACAAAAAAACAACAAAAAAACGTTCTTTATAACATTTGAAGAAATGGTATTGTTTTTCTGACATCAAAATCACAATTTTCTCAAAATAAAACCAGCACAAATAGTAAGAAATCTTATATAACATGTACATATATTGTACGTACAAGTAAATAAAAGTTTATATTTCAAATGACAATGAAAAAAGCATTTTATACAACTGGAAAACAAGTTATAAACAATGATTAAACATGTAGTTTTCTTGTATATTTTAATACCAACATATTAATTTCTCATTTAAATTTGAATTTAAAAGGATTCTTAAAATAGCTTCCCCAGTTTTAAAAATATCAAAAACCCTAAAAATGATCACAACTAAACTGTACAATTAAGAAGGTAACTTCATCAAGAAATCACCAAAATTTTAAACGCATCTTCATAATTTTATCTTTAGAGTTAACATCAAACAACCCCCAGCGGCCTTGAACCAGAAAGATCTTGTTTACACAATATCATGTTTACATTTATTATATATATATATCATATAAACATGTAACTTGAACTGAACTGCGTATATTATTTCAACTTGATCTTAATGACTTGTAAGAGGCACTACTCCAGATTTGTGTAAATTTTGATGAAAACTAAATATCAAATTTTTATGAAAACTCAAAAGTAATCTTTTATGAAAACTAAATGTTGAACATATCGAGTAAAAATGTTGTCAAAATTGTTTGATTAACCTTGCCAATGGCCCTTATTATCTATATGAATTACCTATAACTTATAAATTACCTATAAATTGTAAAAATATAAAGAAATTTCTCTAACTCTGTTACATGTGTATTAAACTTATTTCAGCAGTTCCGTTAGCTAGCTGGATAGCTTTCTCACATGTATATCGCAAATTCTGTCATATCTTGTATTTAATTCATTTAAAGTTTAACGTATTGTGTAACAGTATATTTATATAATTTACATCTTTAACGATAAATTTATTTTTGCTAAAGTTTTCTCTTGTGTGTGTTTTTTTTTCACTCAAACGGAATTGCGCCCCTTTTAATATATGCATCAAGGGAACGGTACAAAGTAGATAGCTTGCTTCTTTAAAATAATCAGCAAATCAAAGATATTCAAATTTTGATAGCAAATCAGCCATATGATACTGTTATAATTTGTGTCTTCTTAATTGATCAAGATAAAAAAATTCAGTTTATTTGTACACTTTTAAACTTTCACATGAAAAAAAAGACTAACAGTTTGTAGGTCATTAGCATTGCAAAGTTGAATGTCTGGTCAAAAATATGTATATTAAACCATAATATCCTCTTCATAAATCAATAACACAGATATAGCTGCACTTGAGAAGTATATATACATTTATATACATATACTGTCCTCAATGTGCAGAAATCTCAATGCACTTAAACTGTCTATGACATTATTCTTTTTATGATGATTTATACAGTAGGTCAAATGTAAAATTATATACATCACAAATTCACAATTGACTTAACAAATATATTTCTTCTCATGTAAGAAGAGCTGTCTGTCGTTTATAATGAAGAAAAAGAACAGCAAACTTTTCCATCTAGATTACTTATCACTAAAATGAATAAGGAAGCAAATGCATGCAAAGTTTTAAATCCTTCATTTTATCTTTTGTTTGGAAAAAAAAAAGGATAATAAAACAGCAAAATATGCACAATTACAAGTATACACATGAAATGACCTCAGAAAGCTAAATTCTTAATATTTGTTTCTTTGTCGTTAAACAAAAGAATAGCTTGTAAAATGTCCAAATTATTAATTACTGAAAATTCTAGATCTGCTCTGAGACAGAAATACTATCTGCTTATCTATCTTTCATAGATGGGTCAAAAAATGAAACAATTCCCAATCTGCAAAAATACTTAATATTTGTTCCCGAAATGTCAGAAATTTCCGCTGACAAAAAATCATTACTCAACTCTTATTACAACTTGTTTTTTCCCAATTTTTACCAATTTACCAATTATGTAACCTATAAAGTGAATTAGACCCATTGTACCGTAATACTTACCATCTTTGTCAGGTAATGGGTTTTTCTCTGCCGTTTCTGTATGTTTCAATGAACCTTTGTCAAACTTTTCTAATTCTGCAGTTGCCTTGTCATGACTAATTGCTGTAATACAATTTAACACAATATTATATAATATTATACCTCATTTGCATATGCTCTTCTATATTTAATATGACGTCACCCGGTCCATAAACCGCATACAGACCGGGGGCGGTCCATAATTCTTATGAAGACCGTTTAAACGTAACTTTCACGACGTGCGAATTTCACGACGACACAAACAGACGATAACTGTCAAAATGGCCAGGCGATTTGCCTTTTTATCAGAGACATAAATTTATTACATGTTGATCAAAAGTTAATTTAATTATAAATTTTATTTACCCGGTATACAGTTTTTGAAATTCTTAAAGTTCGGGTTTTTGGCCTAGTGACATTAAATATTTAATTTGATTAACAAAAATGGAATATTAAAAGAAGAACATGATTTTTTGCTGCATCGTTTGAAAATAATAAAACAAAGTCCGACTATGGTTTTGGATATTTCACATACAAAACAAGTAAAATTATTATTTGAAAGAGAATAATAGTAAAATGACTGCACAAAACAAATGGATGAAAGGATTTAGATTCGGTATAATATAACAAATAAAACATGGCCTTTCAGGCAAAATGCAATTTACAGACTGGTTGGTCAGACCTCGAAAGGAATATGGCCCTCAGCTGCGCTTCGGGCCATATACCTTCCTCAGTCTGACCAACCAGTCCGTAAACTTGCATATTGCCTTGTGACCAACATGTGGTCCTCTTAAAATCAGACATCATGGGTTCGAAACACAAACAAAACTATTCATAATTTTCAATAACAAAGTTTTACTAAGTATATTAAGTGTTCTACAAAAATTAGAAACTTTGACGCATTGAAAGCGACCAGAGAATGTTTCTAATTTCTGTGGAACAGCTACAGATGAATACTAACATACTAAGAGTCAAACTTTATTTGATTTCCATCAATATTCACTTCATTACGTCACAACTATTTTAATGAAGAACTAAGACAAATAGAAGGTGACTATGAACGAATTTGATATAGTATAGTAAATTAACTCACAGAATTTTTAGAAATACAGCGTTTTCATTGGATGACAAATAAAGCTGGACAATAATACCAGACAAATGTCAACTTGATAGTGATTCAAATATATGCTCAAAACACAGCACAATAGATAAATTTTAATGCTTTTTTTTCTCATCAAATCTATGATACCTGTTACATATTCAACAATTTTTATTTCTTTAACCCATATGTATGACAATATATTGATTTAATACAAAATAAGTTTTAATATTCATTTTTTTAATAAGTGGCCACACTAACCTTCCTTCCATCCGGTTTTCTCATTCGTTTCTGTATGCTTCAAGTTGGAAGTATCAAATGTTTCAATAGCTTGTTTCGTCTTCTCTTGAGATATAACTGAAATTTAGGACAAAATTTAATATTTATAATACACAAACATATTTGAGCCGCGTCATGACAAAACCAACGTAATGCGTTTGCGACCAGCATGGATCCAGACCAGCCTGCGCTTCCGCGCCGTCTGATCAGGATCCATGCTGTTCGCTATCAGTTTCTCTATTTGAAATAGAATTTGTAAGCGAACAGCATGGATCCTGATCCATGCTGGTTGCAATCCCATTAAGTTGGTTTTGTCATGATGCTGCTGATTTCTAAATATAAATATAAGTACAAAAAAATGATATAAACATATGCGTCTTGAATAATATTTTATGAACTAAACCTCGAACCAATAAAACAGAGCATCAAGCCTTAATTGTGAAATTTGAGATTTTGGGTCGTTATAATAAGACAATAATTTCTGAAAAGAATAATATCTGTATGAATTCCAAAAGCTATTTAGATCTGTATCTTGCAAACATCTTACTGAATAGCTGCAATGTTCTGGTTTTCAAACCATTAAACGAAAAATAACAACCAATTAAGTGCTCATACATTTTTTTTCAAGCATTAAAGTCTGCAGACATTCAAGGACGCATTTGAATCCCAAGTAAGTCTGAGAATTTCTAAAGATACAAATGCACTCAAAAAAGGTACATTAAAAAAAATATGTGTCTTATTCGGTAATTTCGCATTTCATTATTTAATTTTAAATATCAAGGACCACTTTTCATCAAGATTTTCACATGATTGGAGTTTTATTTTGATAATGAATCTACCATGGCCATCATTTCATAGGATTTTTTTCCACGCCCTGAGTCAGGCATATTAAGTATTAAACATGAAACAACAGCGTGTGCTTGCATGATTTTATCCATCAATGCATATTTTCTTCTCTGTTAATGTACATCTGCTTACACAGTTTTTATGCGATAATTCTGGTTACTTTATAATTATCATTTTCAACAATCCAGACACATTTTAAGTGTGCAAATGTGTTAAGCACTAATACATATAACTACCCATACTGGGAATTACTATCTATTTCAGTTACAGTAACAGGATTTAAACTTGCAACTGCTGGTTTTTTCTTCGAACAGTCCAATGCATATCCATGATATACATTATCCAATGATAAATATCAACGATATATACATATATTATATTTCTATGTTTCACTTTAATACAAGTTTTCATGATTTTAGTAAGAAACATATTCTCTGCTTAAAATTATGTTGTCTATATGTATTTACAAGTAGTCATGGATGAAGTAACAAAGTCATTTTTTAGACATATCCTTTTGACTGGGCACTGCTTTCATTGATATTCTTGTTGAATTTTTGTCATTTCTAGATATTTCATTCCTCAGTCATAATTATCGATTTTTTCAAGTATGTATTGATGGACAAATAAATATCAACAACAAATCGATCATCATTTTTATCGATGACAGGCAGCTCTTGTCTTTTGGGTCCAGCTGTGTTGTCACTGCTCTACTCTCTAGCTCTGATAAAAAGAGTTTATGTGATTCATGAGACCAGTCTAAAACAGCAACTCATCCATTGGTTACTTTTAATTTTATCTATCCCTAAGCCTGGTGATTCAGCTTCATTAGGTTTAGATTGGTTCACTTATTATTTACATAGTAGGACAACATGAACTATTCTCCGTGCTTGATATTAAAAGAAGACCCCAGATAATGTAGGAATTACATAATTCTGTCATAATCCATGTTACAGTTATGGGTCTTGGATAGTCACAGACCTCCTATTAAAAATATTATGCTCTTAACAAAGTGTGTGAAGTTTCAACCAAAGCTGTTCAGTAATTTTGCAGATACTTAACTTGCACGAAACTTAACCAAAGTGTGACACCGATTCCTGGGTGAGTACAAATTATTAGATCGACAAGAACATGTCTATAGATATTCTTGAAATTATTCTGCTCCCAACTTCTGTTACCATGGAAATCTGTTGAGATCATGTCATTTCCCAACATTTTAATTACGATAAAAAATAAATGAAAATGTAGCCTTTATTTTTTTTCACTTTCATAAAACTTAATCATTGTTAAGCAAACACAAGCTTTACTTAATTAGAAACAGACTGTTGTATTCATGTTATGATGAATTTACAAGGGAAAATCTAAAGCAAGATCTAAACAAAACAGCTACTTGCTATATTGTTGTTGTTTTTTAAAGGTTAAGTAAGTATAAACCGTTTCATCATTTTCCACCATACATGCTCTAATTAAAGCAAAGAACAAATACCAAGACTGTGTTGTTTTTTTTTGTGTTTTTTTGTCTCATGTTCCTTAAAAGTAAATCCTTCCTAAAATTATTATTAAGATGGTGTTTATACTGCCTTTTATTTGTTTATAAATTTATTGTTAAATTTATTGTATAATTTTTTAACTTTGTATAACAAAGAACTCAAATACACACCACACTACTAACACTTTATTGAAATTTTGCACTTTGTTTTACTTTTAATAATATGAAGATTTGCATCAACAAAAAGTTGGGTGTTTTTCCGGGGCTAAGTCATGTTACACTAGATATAGGCTGAAATCACAATTTTACACTATGTCATAGTCTGCATATATATTTTTATCTATCTACAAGAAATAAACAGTTTGATGGATACAATATTAGGTCAGGAAAACATAAATATGTCTTTGTATCAAAGATATTTCATATCAATTAACTAATTGACCTCATTAAAACTGGACAAGGGCACTTGTTTAATGCGATTTTAACTTGCCAATACAAGACTATATATTGACAGGTTTACAAGCATAGAGACACCTTGAACTTACAAAATGTCATAAAACAGTACCTGACACCTGAGTATCAATATTTTTATGCAGATTTACAAGTCACAAGCTATTCAAATGAGCAATAAAAAAAACAAGAGCTGTCGGTAGGACAGCAACGCTCGACTATTCTTAGTGCTTGATAGTAAAAAAAATGCTTGATACAGTTACCTCCTCCTGTTTACAGGTTGGGGTCATGATGGTGAACAAGTGTGCAAAGTTTCAAAGCCATATGTCAAAGGACTTTGAAAATATTTGAACTATTACAAAAACTTTAACGTAAATTCTAAGTCGAAAAAGGGGCTTAATTGTGTCAAAATGCTTGATAGAGTTACCTCCTACTGTCTACAGATTAGGGTCATGATGTTGAACAAGTGTGCAAAGTTTCAAAGCCATATGTCAATGGACTTTGAAAATATTTGAACTATTACAAAAACTTTAACGTAAATTCTAAGTCGAAAAAGGGGCATAATTCTGTCAAAATGCTTGATAGAGTTACCTCCTCCTGTCTACAGGTTGGGGTCATGATGGTGAACAAGTGTGCAAAGTTTCAAAGCCATATGTCAATGGACTTTGAAAATATTTGAACTATTACAAAAACTTTAACGTAAATTCTAAGTCGAAAAAGGGGCATAATTCTGTCAAAATGCTTGATAGAGTTACCTCCTCCTGTCTACAGGTTGGGGTCATGATGGTGAACAAGTGTGCAAAGTTTCAAAGCCATATGTCAATGGACTTTGAAAATATTTGAACTATTACAAAAACTTTAAACGTAAATTCTAAGTCGAAAAAGGGGCATAAATTCTGTCAAAATGCTTGATAGAGTTACCTCCTCCTGTCTACAGGTTGGGGTCATGATGGTGAACAAGTGTGCAAAGTTTCAAAAGCCATATGTCAATGGACTTTGAAAATATTTGAACTATTACAAAAAACTTTAACGTAAATTCTAAGTCGAAAAAGGGGCATAATTCTGTCAAAATGCTTGATAGAGTTACCTCCTCCTGTCTACAGGTTGGGGTCATGATGGTGAACAAGTGTGCAAAGTTTCAAAGCCATATGTCAATGGACTTTGAAAATATTTGAACTATTACAAAAACTTTAACGTAAATTCTAAGTCGAAAAAGGGGCATAATTCTGTCAAAATGCTTGATAGAGTTACCTCCTCCTGTCTACAGGTTGGGGTCATGATGGTGAACAAGTGTGCAAAGTTTCAAAGCCATATGTCAATGGACTTTGAAAATATTTGAACTATTACAAAAACTTTAACATAAGTGGTTACGCCGACGCCGACGCTCGGGTGACTGCAATTGCTCTACTTATTCTTATCGAATAGTCGAGCTAAAAAATACATGCAATAAATCATTTTCTATTCGTAAACCTTTTAACCATTATCATTTAATGTCCTTAATCATTACATAAACGCACCAAAAAAATATATATGCAAATTATCAACAATTTTCAAAATCTAGTCAACTAAATTAATAATGCAACATGTTTTTTTTTTCTCAGTCATATAATACATGTACAACATTCAACAGGATTCTGTACAGGAAGTTTAGTGAAGAGCGGGGGGGAAAATGAGGTGGTTTTAAACCTTTCGGTCTGTCCATGCTCTGCAGGATCAAGCAGTTATTTGAAGTTTTTTATGCAAAATTGAGAGATGTTTTTTAATCTGTATATCCCACAAGGCAAGACCTTTTCTAGGGATTTGATAATCTAAAATTCAAAGTCTATGCAGGAATTGCAATCGACTGACAAAATTTATGCACCTTTGCGCAGTAACGGGTTAACTTCTTTCAAATCATAAGTGGTAACCCTTTACTGCATGAACATGACAAAATAATAACCACTTTTAAAGATTATGAAGATGTAAAAGGGAGTTAACCACCTACACAAATCCAGGATGTAAACAATTGTGGTCATGACCTTCACCATAAATCAACATTATAAACAATTTGAAGTGATATCTGTCACTGGTATAGTGTGTGGAGGTTATGAGAGGGGTCTAAATCAATTCTACAGATAAAAGATAACAAAGTCTTGTTTTTTTTCTTTTTTTCTCATTAATTATCACAACTATGCTGACTTTCCTGGTTATATCATTTCAGGCACTCTAAAAATGACTTTTATTGCTTTCAAATTAGCAGATTACATGGATTAAGGGGATTTCAGTGCCGAGTATTGTGCAGTTTAGAAGGCCTGTCTTGCTCTATACAGACTGCTGGGACAAATTATCAACATCATTAATAAGAGAAAATACCACATTTGTATGTCCGTGGCTAATTTTAAGGTTTTTTAATAAGTTGCCAATTATAAGACATTTTCATATAAATTTTAGAAGTTGATAATTATATGGCATTTTCATATTTTTTAGTTGCTAGATGCCATTTTCACAAAGAAGTTTTAATATACACGTTGCTCATTTTAATATACAAGTTGTTAACTTTAAGGCATTTTAAATTTAATGCATAAGTTGCTAATTTTAATACATAAGTTGCTAATTTTATGGCATTTTTACATGTAAATTGCTTATTTTAATAATTATTATGTAATTTGCTAAAATTATTGTCACAATGAAAACAGGGGATGTAACTTCTACATTTTAAAATACATTTTGGCTTGTCAAGGTACATTGTATCAACTTACAAAATTAACATATTTCTTTCATAAATTCTTCAATATTTAAGACTTCTAAATAAATTTTCATAAATCTTACAAAAGGAAATGGTCCTTGTTGAATTATCATATAAGTTAATTCATGGAACATGTCAACATTTCAAGCAGCTATACAAAATTACAAAATCTTAAACATGGATTTTTTTTATTTATCTGAATTTTTTGAGGGAGCTTTTGATCTGAAATTTTGCACATAAGTTATTGGTCTAGACCTTAATCAAATGGTACATGAATCTAGAAAAAATTATTTCCAGTCCCATAACTTCAAAAAAAAAACCTCAGTCGAGTCCCTTTAATGGCCCAACTGGACTGTAAAAGTCAAGTCCCTTTAAGGATAAAGATTACCTTCAGCACTTGGTAATGGGTTTTTCTCCTCTGTTTCAGCATGTTTCAGTTTAGCACCTCCTTCAATATCTTTAAGTAAAGCGGGATCAGCTTTATGTTCTGTACTGGTCATTTTTCACCACAACACTGGACTACAACTGAAAATATAAAAATAATAGATGCATATTAATTGATATTGACCATCTAAACAAATTAAACATAGCCATCAAATATATAGATACAGAAGCCATTTCTCTCAGAATATACCATTTCATTCAGAAACCACAATATTAGTCTCTCATTTTTATACAACTTTTGACTTTGTAATGATTTAAAGTCTACACAATTACAATTCAATAACCTAATTTTAAGATTATGCCAAAAAAATATGATACCACTTCTACTAATTTCTTTGTCATGTTCTTGCAGTCCTTTGAATTTGGAACTGTCCGCTGTTACTTAAAGAGGGGATTCAGTATTCAGCAGCTAAAAATTTGAGCCTAATTATCATACAGCAAAGATGTATAGACCAAAAAGAAAAGGTATAAAAATAAACTACATAATGATACATGTACAGCCAACCTTTTCCATCAAGCTGAAGGGCCATCACCTTGGATGGTTTCACAATTTTGACATGTAACAGGAAATAATAATCCCTAAAAAAAACCTGATACTGAAATCTACAAAATTTCAAAGGAAAATTATCAGAGTGGAAATTACACACAAACCCAACTGTCACTGCTGAGGCTGTATTAACTAGATTTCTTTATGTTAAGACTGCAAATAATATGACATACCATATAATTATTAAGTCTCATAACTTCCTTTTCTGTCAATAGGTGTGAAACGATCATATAAACATAGTGGTATAAGATGAATGGGAAATACTTCAAATATTTAACATGGTATATTATATACTACTGTCCTACAATATTTAAGCACATCATATGTATTTTTTACGTAAACTCTACCGGCAAAAATAAATACATGTATATATCAAATAGTTTAAATTAATTCAACTTTTAAGTTAAAACCACTCTACATGTCTGCTTCGTCTTCTACAGCAGGAGCTGTATTCTGGGGTCTGTCATCCCCACTGAAAAATTCTTTAAAAATAAAGCAATTTTCTTCTAATGTTCAATTTAGCATTCTCTTTCCTGATTGCAAAAGAAGTTTGTTAATTTTTCCAAAAGTTAAAGGCAGGGCCCCTAACCTGTGACAAAAGCACTGCTCTATGAACATTGAAATCTATTTAAATGGGACATACATGTATATTGAAACATTTGAAGTTGCTGCCCCTATATATGTGTATTGCAGTAGCATTAATTATAACAGTTTTAACGTTTTTAAATATCACAATTTATGTCATATTAAAATTACACAGCAATAATATCACAGGAATATTATTTTTTATGTTTAGTATACATATCTGCCTTCCTTTTCTTCATCAAATTAGTCTTAAAACTCTAATACTAGAACACATACACTTCTACAGCTAGACAATATTTCAAAAAGTATGGTTAACACAATATCACTCTAAATAAGGTTAATATCTGCCTAATTATCAATCATTTTTCATAAGAGCGCAATATAATACCTTGAAGGGTAAAATCCTTATTTCCTATGAACTTGACAAATAGAACTCGATATTATTTATTGTCCTTGCAAAGTTATCAAGTTATCAACTTTTATCAAAATGGCCCCAATGCACAGCCAGGATATCCTAAATTTAACTTAATAAAGATAAAAGTTTTAAATTTTAAATAATCTATTGATTAATCTCTCTAATTTGCAAAAATATCACCTACACAGAGTACACAAAAAATATGAAATATTTATCTGAAAAACCCACACTAAAACTGCTCTGTTGACAAAGATTGACGAGTGCACCACATGAAAATCTGGATGATCAAATTTGTACCAGGATAAGGAAATGACTCAGTCCACATTAAGAGCTTTTCCATCCATTTCAAATTTGTCATACACAAATACAATGATCAAACATTCCTCTTAACTGAAATGTCTGTAAGTTTCTCTTTATCAATTAAAAAACCCTGAAAGTGAATACTGTTAAAACTAGGTTTTGATGAATGAATCTTTGATCATGATAATCAGTCTGTTAAGATGCCTTTTCATTCACATCTTCATGCATATTCACTGTATCTTACCAACATTTTAAAGCTTAATGTAAAGCCACACCTTCCTCCTTAACTTGTCAAATAGATCATATTTTTTTATGGGTTATTTTCTTTTATGGGTTATTATTTAATGCAATGATTTTCAAGTAAAAATCTACATTGTTGAAACACTAATATTTGTCCTTGTTATGAAATCTTAAATATTTGACAGAAATAGTTTCATTTATGCTTTTTCAAGAAATTTTGCATCATTTGGTAAAATTATTTAATACATGTACAATGTCAGATAATCACACTGACAATACTTTATACTAGTCGACCTGGTAATCTACATGTAGGATTGCTGGTTGCGCAAGTTCAAACCCCGTCAGTTGTTTACTTTACAAGACTTTAGTGTGTTAATATGCTTATAAATAGCTTCCTACACAATGAAACCATTGAATCTAAAAATAAATTCTGTATAAACTAAATGATTGTAATTTAAATCCTTACTGCTAATTTTAGCAATAATATTCACTTTCTGCAAGCCCAACAGCTGTTTACCAGTTCCTTCAATCATATAAATTTTGTTCAAACACTGTTTCACATTAGCACCTTTTACTTTTAAAACAAATATTTTCAGTTCAATGAAACATTACTTTTAAATCCCCTTGATAAATGCTTGAATGTTTGGAACTCAAGAAAATGCCTCATTTGCGGTTTCAATGCCAGGAAAAAAATAACATTCTTAAACTGCTGATTGTGCATTTTTACCCACTTATCATGCTATGAGACTGGAGTTGTCTGATAAATTATGAACTTGTCTATTGTAACTAGGGCCCATCCACCCAACAATTCCAATTGGCATAGCCTTGACTTAAGACTTGGATTTTCAAAGCCCTGGTAAAGTTTGTTTGTTTGTTTTGTTGGGTTTTACGTCACACCAGCACAGTATAGATTATATGGCGACTTTCCATTGCACTGGTGAAAGACGACGTACCTCAGATGCTGCGGAAGTTAGCCTAATACCTTCCTTACATGCAAGAATCAAAACTACCTGTCGGGAATCAAACCCACAGCAGTGAAGGGAGTGGTTTAAAGGCAACAACCTTAACAACTCGGCCATGGATGTCTCTCCCTGGTAAAGAAGACATACATAATCTTTTCCTACAACATGGATGTCAGATGGTAAAATTCTTGCTGCAATGCTTTTCTTACATTTCTCTAGCCATTTTGGTGCCAAAACATAATCCACCCATTCATCAGCAGTGCGTGGGCAAAAAAACAAAGGACAAAAAGTTATTCTCCCACCACCACAAGTTAAAAGCAAAATGTTCTAAAATCAAAGAAGAAATTTCTTTGTTTGGTCAGTTAACTGTAAAATTGTACGAAATTAAGACAAATAAAGAAATTAACAAAGAAAGTAACTCAACTTAATCAAATTAATGACCTGTATACATTTAAAAGTTTATTTTTGAATCATATTAAGTGACTATTTCCTATTTATTTTATTTTATGGATCGTATCAATTATACTGCTAGATCAATTATACTGACATATAGATATAGATAGACATTACAGCTTCAGGCCAATACAAGAAAAAAACTTGGTTCTTAATATCACATATCACTGGGCATCTTAAACAATACATCAAAATGAAATGATCAACATAACACAATCTGTTAGGTAAGAAAGATACCTTACACTTTCATTTAAAACAAGCTACATGAAGATATCACATTGCTTTTTCTTACAATATGAAGTTATATATATTTATAAAATTTAAGTATGAGGTCAAGGCATTTTTATACAAAGTCTTAATCATTACAGAGGTGAAATGACTGTTCATAACTCCAAATATGGTTTGTAATGCAAGGATTTGAAAAAATTGTAAGCTTTTCAATAGAAATACAGATACTTGTATCATTGGAAATCAGTGAAAAGTTATGAAAAAACACAAATAAGGTGAAGGGCACAGAAAACCAAAACAAAAATCTCTATAGCCTCACAATGAAATTTTATATCCCTTATTTACACAAATGAGGAAATTACCCTCTCCACATCTCTATCTTAGATTGATGGCCTATGAAAATCAGTCATTGAACTAATAAAATAAATAACACATAAAATGCCCATAGATCTAGGATGTATCTTAACCATTACTTAGCATATACTAGACAAATAATCACCAATATACAATGAAAACAAGAAACATGGCAATCCCATGAAACCAGGTTTTCAATTATCACCATTGTAGATAAATATGTTGTATTTGAAATACAAATACAGTCGACATTGTATTAAGAGACCACACAAGGGACTGCCAAAAAGTGGCCTCTTAATAAAGTGGTCTCTCAATAGAATTCTGGAAAATTCGAGACTTTTTATTACAAGTCATAGATATAATAACATCTTTTTTATAAAAACTAAAACTATACAATATTATGTCATTTTGACCATGAAACAAAGCATATTGTCTTATATTTTTGATATGTTCATACACATCTCCTGATGAACATACTTTAGAATCATCAGCCAGAGCTCCAGATAATTTATTATGCAATGAGTTTTAAACTTCTTGATTTTTTCAACAATAAGTTTTCACACTACCCCGATTTCAAATTCAATAAGATTTTTAGAGATCTAGGATTTTTTTGTCTTTTTTTGTCGAAGGGTCATATTTAATGGGGAACTACATGTATTTTATAAAGCATCAGATGAGCACCTACACCATCAGCAATGAAAGGCTCGAGGTTCTGTAATGTTTAGTCCACTACGTTTCACAATTTTATTTCGACTACAATCGATGACATTTGCTATATACTCAGACTCAATTCCATGCACGATTTCCTCATACAATTTATCCGGTCTTATTAGTTGTCTGTCTTTTTTTCGCTCGATCCGACGTCATTTTCGATAAGGGAGGTCACTCTGAGCACATGAAAAAACTATGCAAATGCGGTGTTGTGATACGTTATTGCTCTGACAAAATATGTCACAATAAATATTACGATCGGAAAATCCGATTTTGAAACGATTGCAATTGTTTATCATTTTGTTTTTAAACGACAATTATTTGTGACCAATGACCATGAAAAATATTTGTTTGTTTGCTTGTACACATCTAACCTACTCGCTAATTACACAGGTGTGAATGGCCGCAGGGACGATTGTTTGTCACGGCCGTTTAATAGATATTAATAGATACTTTAACACTTAATTTTGTACATTTGGGCCGACATTCAGTGGCCGCTGGCCGCGATATAAAATAGTCGTTTAATGGAATTAAATTAAAGAGTAAAAATCATCGGGAGGGATTTTATGCGGCCGCTTAATAAAAAAGTCACTTAATAAAGGTGGACGCAAGTACGATGCCGACTGTACAAGCAACAAACAATGTAACTATGTGCAATGTAAAAGATGAATAATGTGGGAGGAATTGCGCACAGAAGAAGTGTTCACTATATATATTCTGTATAAGGAAAAAAAACAAAGGGCCATAATTAGGTAAAAAATTATCCAATCACAAAACCCCGACAATATGTGCTAGGGCACTTGATGACAAAGCTTCTGTGAAAGTTTGAACAAAAATCCGTTGAGAAATGTAGGAAGAGTTCAGCACAGAAGAATTTGTTCAATTCTGTACAAGGAAAAAAATCAAAGGGCCATAATAAGGTCAAATATTATCCAATCACAAAACCCTGACAATATGCGCTAGGGCACTTGATGAAAAAGCTTCTGTGAAAGTTTGGTCAAAATCCGTTGAGAAATGTAGGAGAAGTTGCGCACTGTAGAAAATGTTCACTATATATTCTATATAAGGAAAAAAAACAAAGGGCCATAATTAGGTCAAATATTATCTAATCGCAAAACACCGACAATATGCGCCAGGGCACTTGATGACAAAGCTTCTGTGAAAGTTTGGTCAAACCCGTTGAGAAATGTAGGAGGAGTTGCGCACAGAAGAAATTGTTCACTATATATTCTATATAATGAAAAAAAACAAAGGGCCATAATTAGGTCAAATATATACCAATTGCAAAACCCTGACAATATGTGTCAGGGCACTTGATGACAAAGCTTCTGAGAAAGTTTGGTCAAAATCCGTTGAGAAATGTAAGAGGAGTTGCGCACAAAAGAAATTGTTCACTATATATTCTATATAAGGAAAAAAAAACAAAGGGCCATAATTAGGTCAAATATTATCTAATCGCAAAACCCCGACAATATGCGCCAGGGCACTTGATGACAAAGCTTCTGTGAAAAGTTTGGTCAAAATCCGTTGAGAAATGTAGGAGGAGTTGCGCAAAGAAGAAATTGTTTACGTCCGCCCGCCCGCCCGCCCCGCCGACATACCTCAATCTAATAACCAGTTTTTTCCTTCGGAAAACCTGGTTAATAAAATTAGGCCACAATATGACCAGATTTTAAGACTACAAGTCACATAATGTTATCCCTTTGATTATGAGAATTTTTACTATGAAAATTACAAAAACTTTCAAATTTACAGCAACAGACTAATGTCCTCTATATAAATTTAACAAGTAAAAAACTTGTATAATTCCAAGAAACTTGTGGAAAAGTCTATTTGTTGTAGTTATCTCACCAAAAAATCAGAACACGCCCAACTGTGACACCCTGGCTTATCTAAAAACTATACTTGCTGGACATTAAACAATATATTTATGATATTTGTGACAATGAATGCTGCTAAAAATATTAATGTCAGTCGTATTTGAAATCATTTCTCAAGTGAGGAACATTATTATTAAAATACAACAATTGTTCTCACTTCTCAGTTTCATCTACAATGTTTAACAATAAACAGACTTCTACTTTAACAATTAGAGAAAAAAAACATCCTTTCAGTTTCAATGTAAGCTATCAGTTAAAGCAGCATGCCTCTAGATGAATGCTAATTTGCATAAACATTTGAAAATGTATTTAACAGTATTGTGAAGTTACCAAATGAATGCAAATTGAACATTATCAATGGCAACCCATGTAAAATACCAAAAACACCAAAAATATCTCAAAATATGCAAAAATAGCCCTTACTGCGTTAAGGCAGTAGAATCATACTTAAAAATCGGTCATTAATTACACATAAAATGGAAATTATAAGTAGAATTTTGAATTTGTTTACTTTTTCCTAAAATCTTAGTACATTTTTCTCAGGTTTGATTCTATTGAGATATTTTGCTCATCTGGAGGCATGTATCTCTAAACTTTCTTTTTAATGAGCATGTACATTTATTTACCTTAGATTTCTGATAAAAAAATAACTACAAGTTTCACTTCCTAAAACATGTCAGTGTTATCTTTCTCACCTTAACAACTAACACCAGACACAAACATGAAGCATGCAGACAAAAAAATAAATGAAGTAGAAGTTTAACTGAGCTCAAATTACATGATTTTCCTCATCTACTTTAACAGTTGACATGGCAATTATCTCAAAATTTAGGCTGCTGTCTACATTGGCTAGCAACAACTTTGCAAAAACTTTAATTTACCACTTCCTACTTACAGCTAAAATGTTAGAATTTCAACAGTGATCTTGAACATTAAAATGAAACCTTATTTTTCCTTTGATAATGATTTCAATACCACAAGGTTTCAGGTACCAATTCTTTGAAATCTCGAATGAATTTTATCAACAAAATTAGCATAGTGTAATATCACATCTACATGTACTACCTGTGATCTCCAAAAAAATGATACAAGTTGAATCTAATAACATGCAATAATTGATACAATGATAGGAAGTAACAGGTTATTGTAATTGTAGTAACACTTGTACACATTGAATTGTATGGACTAAGTAAATGATACAACCATCAAAATATCAATAAACATTCTACTGGCAATGGACAGTATCTAAATCCTCATTCCACAAAATCTATGTAGTGATTCTGCACACTGTTATTAATTTAGCCAATGAAATATGCACATTCAAAAAACTTTAGGTGTGCAGTCTTTAGTAGAGCCTATTCATACACCTCTTAAGAATGTTGCAAGTTTTAATACTGAAAATACAAACTAAAACTGCCTAGTGCACCCAAGACTCTAAGAGTTCATTTAGTCTTCTTTGTTGAAAATTTGGAAATGATTATTTCTTCATATATCTTTCTTCAAAAGAACCTTTCTATACGAAAAAAAAAAATTCCCAAAATTTCAATTTTCTCTACCTTCCTATTAATCAAGTTTAACACAACAATTGTCATTTATTGTAATTAATGCCTTTAATTCATTGTGCATATTTTAACATGTAAAAAAACAACACATTTCTAACAAGCCGCATTGATCCTACACATTATGACATTTGAATGTAGCAACAAGCCAACAACAAAAAAAAACTCAAACAGGTAGTGTTGTTTTCTTCTTTAAAAAACAATTGCACATTAATTATCTTAATACAATTTTTGAATTAGACCCAGCTTGTATGATATCAACAATAATAAATCAAGTATAAACAAAAATGATTCATTAAAAGAGAATGTAGTACATAATTATATTTCTCTTTTCACTAGTAGCTCTAATTATCATCCAAATCTGTCATGAAACAAAATAATCTGTAGTATTTATCAACATTGCTTTCAGCAACAAATTATAACTTGCATATACATAAACAAAATTAATGTATACAACTTCACTGTTTATTATTCAATTTTCCTAGTGTTTTTTTTTTCCTCTCAAATAATGAAAAAAGTTTAATTTACCTTGAAACTTTACAAAATTCTTTAAATTCCTTCTTCACAACAATGCTTGCTCCAAAGAAATAACACTGAATACCCAATAAATTATATTTCCTTCTTTTGATTTAAAACTGAAATATTATGTGCAAATCACCACGGCACAGGGAAAATATATTATTTCTTTGCTGTTTTTTTTTAAACCTGAAAAATCCAACTAATATTAACTGAGACAGTTTATTCACTGATGTATAACAGTTGTAACTTACTTTATTTGGTAGTAAATACGACTCGACTGTCAACGACTCGACTGTCAACAAATACTACCTTTATGAGCAATATCCTTATATGGTTAGTTATATGACTGCAAGTGTCAATGACATAAATTTTATGCTGAAGTAACACAATTCATTACGATTTATAGCCCTATGATGATTACTGTAACATCTGTGATAGAATTCTGGCAATGATTTAACGCCATTGTTGAGTGAATCATTACCTACAATGCACTTTTGTTTACGGAATCATAACCACATTCCATAGAATTTGTAAATAATAATTATAAGTGATCCTAAAATACTACATGTACATAATTCTAACCATCCTGGGGTTTTAAGGATGAACTCACCTGATTTTGGTCATGTACATGACAGTAAATTATATAAATTCTAAACTCTGTTTAAAATATCTTTCATTGTTACTGAGTTCCATATCTAAACAGTGATTTTTCCCACTAATTTGGGATGAGCCCTAGGCCACTTGATTTTGGGAAAAATTACCACTAAAATTGCTAAATTGGGAAGTAAAATAGCAGGTTTAAGTTCAATTTTTTGGGAAAACTGCGTGATTTTGAAGAAAATTTCACTAGGGAAGAGGCCTTTTATCGGAGTCTGTTATATAAGCAGAAAAATCACTGCTAAAGATCATCTCATTTTTCATAATCTTTTCCCAGCTGACTTTGTTGATTGCTCAAAACATTTCATTGACTTAATTGGGTGGAAAAAAGATTATAGAAAATCAGAAGAATTTCACACAGAAATTGTTACAATACAGGCAAGGAAACTGCTCTCTATGTAGGGATTTATGCACTTTAATTGAAGTAGACCCATTAAGTATAATTATAAACAAAAAAATTCATACAATTTAAGTATGTAAATGCATGGGCGAGAGAAAGTATTCTAGCATTATACTTAAGTAGGAGTTTCACAATTTCTTGCCACAAATCGAAAAACTGCTATTTTTGTTTAATAACTCAGGGGTCATAACTCTGCTTATCTCAAATAAATGTGCAGCAAAATACTAAGGAATAAATATTTATGCAACTGAACTGCCATTTAGGATAAACTGCACATGGATCATGCATATAACTTATATATTTATAAAATAAAACATATTATGCATTTATGAATGAGTCATCTTCTAAATATATATTTTCAAAACATATAATTCATTCTTGATAGTTTGCCAATATTTGAAGGTGAAGAATGGTAAAGCTTTTGTTTTGTTGTTTCACACATGCACAATTGAATATTTAACTAGGAATCAAATTTCAAAATTCAATCAAATAAATATGGTACATATAATAAAGAAAGAACAAGCTATCTGTCAAATTAACAGTTACATAATTCATACTTAACAGGAAACAATTACCACTTGTGTTAAAATGAGGTTCTTTGGGGTTTTTTTAAATGTTACAAGTGGCACTATTGAGTAGCGAAAGTAAAACTACACTTAGAATTGTTCATCTGAAAAAAACAAATTATGCTAATTGTTAAAAGGGAAGTTTACTATCATAATGAAAGGCATGTCTATGCTTTAATTCAAACAAAATGAAACAAAAACAAATATTTTTTTCCAAAATAAGCACCTTGAAAACTTAAGAGTTTCAAGTAGCCAAACAGCTTCCTTATCACTTATGAACAATTAAACATATTATGATGATTCAAGAACACTGATCTTGAAAGGCAGTGTGCAAATAAAACTTGATATATAACAGAAAACTTTCTTTTCAGTCTCGAAAGTTTCTTTTAATAAATGAAGATATTTCCAACACTGTAAAGTAATTGCATAATTTCTATACAGTCCTCTATCCACAAAAGTATCACCAACTTAGATCTTACAAGAGCTGTCCAGGGAGCATCAAGCTCTTCTTTCTTTGTTCTGTATAGTAAACTCATTTTCTACCTAAAAAAATCTGAATTTAAGGTCACAATCACCTTTGACTTTTTAACCTGACAGGCAGAACTCATCAAAAGACAATATAGGTCATTTTGACCTTGACCTCAACTTTTAACAACCTAGGGCAGGTAGACCTAATCAAGGTGCATTGGCACACACAATTTAGGTTCCTTGATCAATGTACTTTGATTTAACAGCCAGTTTTCCAATCACAGTAACCATGTGATCTGAAATTGGGCGTGGCATGTAGAACTCATCAAGGTCTGTTCTTCAGACAAAGTAGGTCAATGCGCTTTCATTTAATGGCAAATTACTGGTCACAGTGACTTTTTGACCTGCAAATGTCTGGGATAGGTAGAACATTTTGACAAACAGATTTCAGTTACTTTGAATGAAAATGGGTGTGGCAATAACACTTACTACATTGTATCCACTGCATCAACATATTGAATAGTTTAAATGTAATAACTTTCTTAGTATTGAAGATAATAACAAGTTAACCAAAGATTAACAAATACATTTGTACTTTGCAGCCAAGTGGGTTATGATAAAAGCTCCACCTTTTCTTTATGCACTCTTATCTATTGCTCTAATTTTTTGGCAAGCTCTATATGCCTTTATAAATTTTCTTAAGTAACTAAACAAAAACAAAAAACAAGAGCAGCGCATGCATGTCTGTTAAAAGTTCTAAGTTAAAAAGAGCCATAACTCCAAAATATTGCTTTTAATTAGAATGATGCCCCTTGTTTTACAACTGCACCGTGTCATAATAACCAAATATTCCACGTTTCGTGTTGATAACTTTTAAAAATGTGCAAATAATAGGCTAATTTAAAGTTTTTGCATGACGACAAAGCCTCAGCAATCGTAATAGGCTAAATAATTTGACCTTTTCTGCTAAAAACCTTCAATAATGCCGTATGAATGCAGTCTGTGAAATTAGGGTTTAAAAATTGTTTTCATTCGGGCAACCAATTCAAGAAAATGTGGTTGTCCGAAGTAAAAACTGGTTGCCCGAACATTTTCATCAGAAAATCTCCAAGCAATTAATTGATCAAATCTGCAAACTTATCTTCAGTTGGAAACAGTCATAAATGTAAGCAAACTAATTGTATACTATTTGATATCTTGCATTTTATCACTATTCCTTGACATTTTGATGAATACTTTATGCAAATTTTTACTTGTTCATCGAGCAAGTAAACATTTAAAAATTAGTTGCCAGGACCAAAAAATTGTTGTCTCGGGCAATAGGACAACTGCTAATTTCGCAAACTGTGAATGTGAGTTGTAGGTATAGGACAGCATGCATAAGTTCAAACGAATCAGGGTCAGCTAGGCCCTTAAACGTACTCTGCCCCCGAGTCAGCTCGGCCATATTCCACAGGTCAACTCAGCCCATAATTATATATTACTGGTAATGATTACTTTTAGTACTTTTTATATTATCTGCTGCACAGTAAATGGGCCAATTGTGTTAGCATCTAAGTCAAAAAATAAAGTTAAACATACAAGGTGATATTTGCTTTTTTTAAGTACCTTAGGGTGTCTATAACAATATTTTGTGAAAGAAAGGATAACTTTTTGGATACTTTTTTCAAAATATTACGTCTCTTGCGGACTGTGTGGGTAGGGGACGGATGTTACAAATATATACTTAAAGTCTGAATATCTTACAGTTTATAAGAAAAATTGTATTATTTCTCTTTATTTTATCAAAATATTATGTGTTCTGATAAATGTTACCAAAAAAATCCAGAAAATTCATCTTAGATATAATAATATTTGCTTTCAAATTTTCTGCATTTTCACACAAAATGAAATTTTCAAACATGTTAGAAACAGAGAGAAAAAAACAAGGATAGGTACACCAAATCATACTTAAATCAAATATGCAATCACATTTCTTATAAAACAGTAGAAATTATAGGACTTGCTTATGTATATTTCTTGTCAGATAATCCAAAAATGAATTGTATCAGGGGGACGGATGTTACATTTTTGGGGGGACGGATGTTACACTAGATGTTTAAAGCTCATAGTTCATACTTTTTTTGGTTTTATTTTAAAGTAATGATATTTATAAGAGAATATGCTTTGTATAGTACAATAAATGTAAAATAATTGAACAAATTGTGAGAAAAAATGTATAAATATACCCGACAATTATGTAGCTTCTTACTATTTGCGTTTCACAATGAAAAGTTGCATTGACTTAGTTTTCTTACATTTATCTTACATTTGAATGAACATTGAAATGTTTGGAATAAAATAAAAACATTTCTAATTAAATAAAAGAATCTTTGTTACCAGATAATGCATTAATGTTAAAGATAGAATGTCATACCAACGGTACCTTTCTATACATGAAATTATTTACGAAATACTTTAGGTAAATATTAATAAGATTTATATTTGTAAAAGATATGATACAGTGTGGTTTTCAGATTGAAACATAATTATGCAAGCTTGAATTTCTCATTACTTAATACATAAATTATATACAATTAAAAATTTTCATTAAAAATTATAAGATTTTAAATTGTTGCAATTAAGTTCTATCGATTTGATGAAATTTAAAGTAAATTAAGTGGAATGTTAGCAGCATTATCCAAAGATTTCATTATGATTTAGTATCATAATCTCATTATTTCTAACTTTTAATAATTCTCTGTGTAAATATTTCAGTGTACATGAACTGCTTAATTTAATGAACTAATTTGTCATTCAATAAAATGTATAGGTGCAAAATAATTTGCGAAGGGTTTATTTACAGAATAATTTTCACAATTATCCCAACTCTTTCATTACAGGAATCCTTACCATATCCTTTACTTACAAGTTTCTTTCACTTTATTAACAATAATTAAAGGGGTCAAATTGTATGAAAATATGCTTGAGTTTTTTTTGGGGGAAAAAAATCTAAAAATTTTAATCAGGGTGTTGAATTATATTTCTTTATTTGTTTATTTTTCATTGACTACATATTTAGCCTATAAAATTTTTAAGTTCAATAAATCCTTTGACTTAATTGATCTACAACTTTAATACTTGAAAC